CCTCTTCTGGTATCCACCATTACATTTTCCACTTCTATGCAATCAAATCTTCAGCTTCATCTAATGACTATTTGTCTTTCAGTTCCTGATTTATTTTACTTAGCATCATTTCCTCTAGGTTCATCCATGTTGCCTCGAGTGACTGGAGTTCATCTTTTTTATGACTAATATTTCATTTTGTATACCATATGAGTTTATCCATTCATCAGCTGTTGGGTGCCAGGATCTGCTTAGCGGAATGCGAATTTTGAGTGGGGAGGCTGTGGGTTAGAAACAAACAACAAACACACAAAGACACACAAGTATACAAAAGTGAGGATCAGGTGGGTCTGACTTCTCTGATGGAGAAAGCCCTGACCAGGAACCAGCTTCAGGTTTATTTTTTAAAGGGCAGAAAATGAGGGAAGAAGAAATGAAATGCAAAGTCAGTTGCTTCTGGATGTAAATTGTCTGAAGATGCTAAAATGACTGACACCCTGTAATTTCGCTGATCTTTTCGGGGCAAAATCTAATAAACACATGTGGCTTCCTTTATTTAGCCTGATACTGCTCTGTGGTATCAGTATCAACAGGCATATAGCGTTTTCATATGCAAATACCTTCATAGCCATGCAAATGAAGCTCATGAAAGCACATTTCTGCATGTGTCTTAAGGTCAGGTTTGCTCAGGTTGACCACTCTCCAGTTGGGCACTTAAGTCAATTCTGTATCTTAGCTACTGTGAATAGTGCTGCAATAATATGGGAGTGCTTATCTCTCTGCCATATTGCTTCCCTTTCCCTCGGACATATAGCTAGTAGTGGAATTACTATTAATAGATCATAAGCTAGTTCTATCTTTAAGGTTTTTTTTTAATTGCCAGAGGATGTGTGCTTGCCAGACAGATGCAGAGACAGAAAGATGGAAAAGCATCTCCCCACAATGACGCATAGTTGTGACTCAATCTGTTCTTCTCCATTCTAGGCACATATGCACATGTGGCTGGTATGTTTTTCAAGCCACCAGGACTGGGATTCAAATAGTATAGGCGGCCATTTGAGATCTGGTTCCCTTAACCACTAGGCCGTGGGCCAGCTCCTGTGTTTTGTTTTGTTTTGTTTTCTTTTTCTTTTCTGGAGAGGTGTTTGCTATAGGGCGCGTGTGCTCGCCAGAAAGACAGAGACAGAGAGATAGAAAGTGAGAAATCACCCCCCAGGGGGATGGCCATGCCACAATCCCTTCTCCTCCATTCTCCTCCAGGGATCATAGGCACATACGCACACATGCCCATCATGAGTTTAAGCCACAGGGTCCAGGACTCAAACCGCAGTCGGCTACATTGGAGTTCAGTGACATAGCCATTATGCTAACTGCTGGTCCCTTTCTTTTATTCTTTTTTTCCCTGTTTTATTTTTTATATTTAAATCTATTCAGAATATTTTCACATATAGTATAACCAGGAGACTAGTTCTATAATCCCCCAGGATATCCAACTATGCCAATACCATTTCCCTAATGAAGTGAAATGCTCCTTGTCATATATAAGTACATACACACACATATAGTACATATATGCACACATATTTAATGCTTTTTCAAGTAAACATACCTCTCTCTCTCTCTCTCTATATATATATATAATTTTATTTTATTTTTTACAGGAGGGCAATTGCACACACCAGAGAGAGAGAGAGAGAGAGAGAGAGAATAAGCACCCCTTACATAAGGCATGGTTGTGCCACAATACTTCCATTTCCCCATCCAGTTGAGATTTAGGGCAAACACGCATATGCACCTGGCATGGTTTAAGGACTCCTGGGCCAGCATTCAGGCCATAGCCAGCCATGCAGGAACTGGCTTTCTATACTTAATCACCGTGCTAAGAGGCTGGTCCTATATATAATGTTCTTTATTGTGTTCTGTTTCTAAATTTTATAATGAGCAAAAATCATACTTCTGTTAGTAATGACTCTATAGTTAAGTTTTAATATTTATTAAACCAAGTCCTCCTATTTTATTTTAACTCTTATTATCTTTGTTATTCTCCTACATATGAACTTTAAAAAATCTTGTCCAGCACTGGACTCCCACATAGTCGACTGCAGTTTGACTCCCAGACATGGCAGCTTGCTTTTTCATTTTCTGTCTCTCTCTTTCTCTCGATCCCTCTCTGGTCAAATTTAAATAACTAACTAAATAAATAAAGTTAAATAGAACAATTCTTAAAAAAAAAAAAAAAAAAAAAAAAAAAAAAAAAAAAAACCAGAAAAAACTCAAATTCTCTTTACTAAAAATAATTCATAATAATAATCTTGCCCAGTACCACCCATCCATCTAAGGCAGGAAAGAGGGGTAAAACCAACCATATCAGGATTCCGATTATAAATGCATTAAATTTTTCATTTTTCTGATATTAACTTTTCCCATTCAGGAACACAAACTTTTTGTAGGCTTTAGTTTGTCTTAAAATATTTTTTTGGTTTTTGGCAGAGGGCACGTGTGCTCACCAGAGAGAAAGAGAGAAACAGTGAGAGGGAAAATGAGAAATCACCCTTGGGAGGCATGGCCACGCCTCAATACTTTACAAGTTCTCCTGGGATTTGGGGCATATATACACACACACACACACACACACACACACCAGTGTGATTTTCAAGCCACCAGTCTAGGACTTGAACTGCAATTAGCCGTGCGGGAGGCCAGCTGTCTTAAACACCTTGCCACCAGCTGGCCCCTCAGTTTTGTTCCTAGAGATCCTGTGCCTTCCTAGGTATTTTGTACTTTTGGTCACTCTTGGTAATAGGATTTTTTTCCCATTTCTATTCTAAACTAGACATTGTCCAGACAAAAGAAAACTATTAATTGCATTCTTTACTTTCATCCAATCACTAAATCCTCTTCTTACAATTCTAGTAGCTTATTCTTTCTGGATTTGTGATCTCTTAAATTGTAGAAATACAGTCATAACTCCTAAAAGATACTTTTTTTCCCTGATGCTTACATCAGGAGGGTCTTCTCTAGCTGTATGACTATGCTAGGATACTGTGTTGTTATCACTTAGGACCACTTCCTTTGCTTTAGGCATTTGTTGCTGCTGCTCAAGGCTGCCCTGAATGGCTTCTAAGGAATGAAACAGGAGTTTTCTATAAGACTATCCTGTAACTAGGGCAAGCAGGTGGCATAGTGGTGAAGGCACTGGACTCACACATGGTCGACTATGGACAGAGTCTTGGAGTGGAGGCTTGAAATTCACACTGGGTGTGAGTGCATGCCTGCTCAAAATCCCAAGAGGGGACTATAGGAGAGGGTGTGGCAATCCCCTGGTATAGGGGGGATGATTTCTCTCTTTAATTCTCTGTCTCTCTGGCAAGTATATGTGCCCTACAGCAAAAATCTCTCTAAAAGAAATCCTGTAACTGGTTTGTTCAGATGTCATGGATGACAACACAATACTGTGGTTCCTGGTCTCTCGGCTCTCATAAACACCAATTCAGAGAGTCATTTATACACATTTCTTGAGCTCACTGCTGTAGTTATGCCAGTCAAGTTTGGTCTCTTGCATCAGGAGAGGCTCAGTACAGTCCTGTCTGGACATACTTATTTTGATAACACTCTTACTCTTTCAAAGACAAATGAACTCAGAGAGGAGTTCTGTGACCATACTACAAGTCTGTCTCAGTCACTATCACATTACCCAGTTTTATTTTCACACCGCCAATCTCATTGGCAATTATATATATTATTTATCCTGGGATAAATTAAATACTAGACTACAAATCTGACTTAACCTTTCAGCTGTTATCTATAAAAGAAACGTCTAGTATACCTTCAATAAATATTTGCTGGATAACTGAATGTTGAGTTTTCTGGAAAACAATCTACATCATGTTTCTTTTTATTCCAAGTAGCTTAGTGTTATTCAGAATGGTTGCTATTGACCTTGTGGAAAAATTTTCAGCTTAAGGGACAGATGAGATGACTTCAAGTGAATGTGGTTATAGAAATTCAATCAAAAAAAAAAAAAAGTAACTGTGAGTCCACAACATAAAAAGAAAGCTCTCCAGGTAGATTCAAAATCTGCATTTGCTATTGGGCTCTTAGAGCCGAAATAGGACCTAATTAATCATTTTGCTTTTTCCATTTCTTGTAAAGGTTTATCTGAGTTGCTTTTGAAATGCTGTAGAGATTTATTTATTTATTTATTTATTTATTTATTTATTTATTTATTTATTTATCTTGAGGTTTGGTGTGGAAGGTGGCAGCGCACCTAGGCACAGGAAACAAGCCTGTCGCTGTCATTTTGTTTCAGCGGGCAGCATTAAGGTTGGACCTCGGTGCTACGATCGCGCCAGAATTTTTTGTTTGTTTCTTGTTTTCATTCCACTCCCTCACTTTACCGCCTTCAATTTACCAATTCTGACACGAGTGTGGCGAAACTCTCAGGTGCGTGTCACAACCACCCTCTGAGGCATTTGTTAAAGCGTCTCTAGAAAGGCATGTTCAGGGGTTCACGATGCGACGGGGGTCGGGCTGACCCAGGTACTAGGGCCAGTGCCGCTCGGACTGGCCGGCAAACCTCCCTACCTTGCGGTCTGCCTCCCGCCCGCGGCTGTCAGCGCCACGAACGCGGTTTCCGGGCCCTGCCCTGCGCTGCAGGCTGAGGCGGGCGCCGAGGCACAGGAAGCGCCGCCCCCGGGCGCCCGGCCCTCGGCGCCTCTC